AGCTCAGGCAGCACTCTCCTGGGCCTTGTCTACCCACAAACTTGCGCGCGAGGAATGCTTTAAAATTTATGTCGTCGGGCTGGTCCGACCTCCTGTCTAGATGCTCATATTTTGGTTGAAGACTGATGCATTTTTCTTTCATTGTGTAAAAGAAGATTCGACAACATTGAACCAGGTTTCTATTTAAACAGGAAAAAAAATAGCTGTATACAATCTTGCCCTGATTTAAATATGGCTTTATCTACACATGAAGTGATTAACTCCATTTGTAAACATTCACATTCAGGCTCAAAACAGACGGCTGGTTTAATCCGGGACTGATTGTCCTGGATTTTGACTCATTGAAACGAATCAAGAGATGCCGGGACAATCATTTACACATGGCACTTGAGTGGAAATTACCTCGAATTAGCCTTGGTTGACCTGGTGGCCAAATGTCAATTTGGTTACTTTACAGGTTCTGAAAGTGGGACAATGAACGTGTAAGATCCCAGAATAAAATTCTTTGTCCTGGGGTAAAACAGCCATTTGTTTTTAGCCACAGAGATGTAACACGGGGCAGCTGTGATGCACAGAGGCAGTGGTGACTTCCAGCTGCCACCGCTCAGACACACAAGTTGGTAGATGGGGCTGCTGCCCCGGCCATCCTGCCTTACTTACACTACTGTTCATGTACCAAGAAAAGATGTGTGTGTTGTTCAAATTAGTTCAGTAAATGAAAACAAAGACCCCGTTAATCTAGAACATGAGTGTGCACACATGAACTGAGTCAGGAACAGGCCTGAGTGTGAATATGCCTGAAATCGGGTTATAACACATTGGTAATCCAACAGGCAGTGCATTGTGTGTGGACGAGACCTTAGCTCTCATGATGCCTAGTAGCTGTCCCATCACCTGTTAGCAAAACCCTACATTTCTAACATTAAAAAAAATCAGAAGCATGACAGCTACATTTCCGACTTCTTTCCCACATGATAAAGCAGCAAACTGGGAGCTTCTATAGTGCTTTCCATGGGAAGTGCTCAAAGAACTCTTTAAACGACCAAAGAGTTTTGTGCTACCCCTGAGAGCTGGGCTATACAAAAGGAAAAATAAGTACCAGAAAGCCAAGCAATTTGCCCACGGCCCCACATCAAGCCTGCAGCAGACCCAGGAACAGAATCCAGTTTCCCTGAACTTTGAGTCCGACTCTTTACCACTAAATCCAGTTTTCCTCTAACAAGGTTCTCACTACCTCACCATGTCCAGGCAATTTATTTGTAAGCTTGATCAGCTGGAGTTACTCTCTCCCATCCATGGCTGTGCAAGGGGATTGCTGCCTTAGGACCTCAGCAATTACTGCAGACTGCAGAAAGCCCTTGCCTTACACCTGCATGGAGCTTTCTAGTCCCTTGTTTTAAGGACTTCAGTAACAAGTTGGCTCTTCGCAGTGTATAGTTCAGCCTGCAATGAAGTCAGACTCTCTGGCTTGCACAGATACGTATGGATGTGAAGGCCATTGCTATTTTATATGGACATACACAACAGTCTGCAGTGATGGAGTCACCAGAATCTACTCCATACATAATTATGGATTTAAGAGACATAGATTTGAAGTGGAAGACTCGAAAGGCACTATTTGCTGTTAAAGGAGCTATTAGTCTTTTTTTCACCTATACAGTTCTTGAAGAAATCTTATGCAAACAGACATTTGCTAAATGCACTCAAATATTTTCAAAAGGAGCAATGTCACATTTGGGGATAAATAACAAATACTTTTGTTAAGAGTCAGCAAAGCCTCTCTGTTCTGGAAAGCATGCAAGTACATTCCCAAATGCTCTCTTGAACTGGAACCTAAATACACACGAGTCGCAAAATCTCAAACATTGAAACATTAATTTGCCTTGAGATTGGAATAGCTTTAAAGAGAGCCTGTTCTATCTCTGTGCAGATCAAGTCTACTTCATAGCCTTCATTTTGAAATTTAAAACAAAAGATGCTGATTAACACCCCCCCCACAACAAAGACATTATTGTGTAGTGTGCAAAAAATGAAGGGCAGGGTTCCAGTATTTCCTTGCCCAGTGATTCAAAAATCATGGGACAAAACTGTGAGTGGCTTAATATTAGGAGGTTTTGTAGGGTTTTATATTTTAAATAATTAATTTGAATTTCTTTTTATTTGCTATGATCTCTCTAAAGTATATTTTGAGGCTTTCTTTTTCAAGCATAAGGGAAAGAAAATTAACTTTGTTCTCCAATCAAAGCTCATGTAATCCTGGGATTCCAGGAGCTGGGAGTTAAAAAAGCCCCACCAAACATTGACAGACTAGTATCAAAATCATGAAGCTGAGTACCACCAAGCTCTTCTGTAACAGCCCGAGGAGATAACGCTAGGTGAATCACATCTAAGGCTTCGATTCTACCCAACTATTCTGTGAATGGCAATCAGGGCCTACACCTGAATCCTTCTCTTTTCTCTCCCCATGTGAGTGCCTAGATTTCCTTTGATTTTGGTCACC